TGCGGAGCAAATCCATCTGGCGGAGTCTGGTTATGAGAGGAGAGTCATCATCAGCAAAGGGTGTCACCCTTTAAAAATGTTTATCTGCCACTTTGATACTGAATTTCTTTCCAACGTGTTTCCAAATAATAAAAAAAAAAATATCAACTGGAGTTTATTTCCAGGTTAGAAGACGGCTCCCAAGTGAATCTATGAGTTAACGTAGTTTTTTCCCTTCAGGTTCTGGAGGACAATGACTACGGGCGAGCGGTGGACTGGTGGGGTTTGGGTGTAGTGACGTACGAGATGATGTGCGGCCGACTTCCGTTCTACAACCAGGACCACGAGAAGCTGTTTGAACTCATCCTGATGGAAGAGATCAAGTTCCCACGGACCCTGTCTGCTGATGCCAAGTCACTGCTGTCAGGGCTGCTGATCAAAGACCCCAACAAACGGTACCCACTCACAACAACCCACTGGGAAGACACTGCCGACATTATGTTTTAATTACCGATGCAAAAAAAAGGCTTCACCCAGTTAATTCTGGTGTAGCTGAAACCAGCAGGGTTGATCTGCTTCCATTCATTTCCACCTTCACTCTATAACTGTGGTTCTGTTCTCATCCATGAGACCTCTGTGTCCCAGAGGAAGAAAATATGTCGTCTGCAGCTCCACAGAAAGGAACCGGCTCACCCTGAAGCTATTCTGGGATCAGCAGCAGGTTCCAGCGGTGGATAGAAGAAAACATCTGATGTCTGATGTGGAGATTTTCTTCTTCTTCTCCTTGTTTGCTGACAGGTTGGGCGGCGGGCCGGATGACGCAAAGGAGATTATGAGGCACAGCTTCTTCGGCACAGTCGATTGGCAGGACGTGTACGACAAGAAGGTGAGCGCAGCGTTCATCCGCCGAACGTCATCTTAACTTGAGAGGCGCTTATGAAATTCTTCAGTGCTATTCTTGGAATTACGGTTACCTTATTTCCCAAAATTAGTCTGACTGGAGACTAAAATAGATGTGAAAGGAACCAAGATGATCTAATCCTTTTTCTTTTTTTTAAGCATTTTCTTTACTCATCTTTTTCTGAGTGTTCTGTACATCAGGTTGATGATTATCATGATTTTAAAAAAAAAAAGCTTAAAGGAATTTCTTAACCTTTTTTATGCAAATTGTCGCAATAAGTCTCTGTAATGAATAAGAAAAAAGTCCATAGATAGATTTTCCTTCACAGAAGCATCACTTCAAGCCAAAATGACTCTTCAGCCGTTTCCTTTCTGTTGCAGCTGGTCCCGCCCTTCCAGCCGCAGGTCTCCTCAGAGACGGACACGCGCTACTTCGATGAAGAGTTCACGGCACAGACCATCACCATCACTCCACCAGAGAAATGTGAGCTTTTTACCAGACTTCGTTCACAGTTCCCAACAACGTTTTGCTCTCAGTTCGACCCGCCTTCCTCAGTGGCTCTAAAAAAAAGCTGAGCCATCTTTTAGAAAATATCCCTGTGCTGTGAAATTATACATATTGTGCTAATCAAAAATTATCATTATGAGCATTTAAGAGGACAGGTTCTTAAGATTTTACAGATATTTAGATGATGAATTATTTAAGTTTAGGGGAATAAACTATACTTCTTACTTTTATGTTCCTAATGATTTCTATGAGAAAATGTCAAAGTTACTTGGGATAAATGCTTCAAATTAATTTAATTATTAAAATATTCTTTATCCTATATTAAAAAATAGTATTTATTTTGTTAATATTTGATTAATATACCTTAGTTATTTGCTAGTTGTGATTTATAATAATATGGTTGGTCCAGCCGATCCTTCCAGCTTTGCTAACCAACCTGCCTTTTGCACCTCCCTTGTTTAGTGCTGAACACGGCCTGTAATTTAATGTTCTGCTCCATTTTCCGTTGTAATGGCGTCGGGTCCATCAGAACCATGCGGCTGGAAGTGAGAAAACCCGTCTGCTGACAGAGGGTTGATTTGATCAGGGACCATAAGTGGAGAGTCAGAGGTTCTGCAGCTATCAGTATGAGCCTCCAACGTTCCTACTCAAATCATTTTTAGACTTTTAGACAACTAGAAGGTATCGTAACCTTTAAAGGTAAAGTGCAGGATGTTCTTTTTCTGGGTGGATCATCTAAATAAGCGGTCCTCCTATTTGTCAGTCATTCCGGTGATATGTTTACGAAAGGCCGTCCTACGCGCTCGTCCCCTTTTTCACTTACAGCTGGGGAGTCTGACATTGTGGAAAAATTGCTAATCTTTTTTTGGAAAGTCAGCTTATATGAGGGACACAAACAGCAGCTTTTAAACAGCGTGCATGAGGAGAAATGGGCTTAAACGCGCTTTCACACACGTTTAATAGATGTTCCCTCTCAGGAGCCGGTGTTCTATCAGACCAGCAAACCTATAGTCATTACGCATGAGCAAGACAACAGATTTTACATGTATCCCTTTATATGAAAAATAGACTTTAAATTACATTAATGGGTGTATCTCTTTATCTCTTTAGTCATGTACAAAAAAAACCTTTAAGATTAGATCGCCCTACGCTTCAAAAAAACACCAAAAAGTAAATAAATAGTTTTTTGGTACATGACTAAAGGGATACCTGCCTGTTGAGCTACCGTAATTTTCGGACTATAAGCCGCCCCTGAATATAAGCCGCAGAAGCTAAATTGCATGATTTGTACATATACAAGCTGCACCGGAATATAAGCCGCAAGTTTTTTATGTTTACACGCAAACTGTCTTGCTCCGTCTTTCTCGCTGTCGTTCTGTCTCGTACCACTCGCAGTAGAAGTCTGCTTCCGGAGGACCTCCGCATTCCCGCGCGCGCGGCTACCGTACTGGTGTGTTGAAGCAAATGTGACGTCAACATGGGGGATGGTAAAATCCATAGATTTATGTATTACCCTAGTGGCCGTTAGCTGTAAAAGTCCATAGATAAGCCGCATGGTTATACGTATAAGCCGCAAGGTCGAAAAAATTGGGAAAAAGTCGCGGCTTATAGTCCGAAAATCACGGTAGTTTAAAGTCTATTTTTCATACAAAACTAAAGGAAGCGCGTCTTTATTACTGTTGTTCAAAAAAGACTTTAAGTTACGTTTGAACTGATGCAGCTTGGGTGTTTTACTCAGCCAATTTTTATGTATATATTCAGAAACTAGAAGATGTTAGCTTTCAAATAACGTATCACAAATGTAATTTGGGCTTACAGTTCCTCAGTTATTTACTTTTCCATTTGGGTATGCAAAATAGGTGAATTTCCCAAAATGAGGTGGATATTAAGAGATTAAATAAGATAATTAGATATTATGCATTCCAAAAAAAGTAAA